CATTTTGACTGCCTCTGGTATAGTCTCTAATGACATTTTGGTCCTATAGGCAACAGGCCAGACAAAGAATGATTCAATAGACTCACGTGGACATAAAACATCAAGGAACTATGTTTCCTATGCCCAGACAGGGGTTACCAGAGCCCCACCCTGGAGCCAGTCCTAGGGAAAGGGCTTGTTGGCGAGTGCCTGGTGGCAGGATCTCTGCCCGTGCATGATGACATGGGCAGTAGCCAAATGGAGCTCTGAGCCTGGTTTACCAAAGCTGGCTCTTGGGACATGGAACGTCAACCCCCTGTAAGGTCTTTTCAAGYGTAATGTGGAAGAGAGTCCGATCGATGATCAAACCTCAGATTCTGGAGGGACAATGTGGGRTCCATCCTGGCCYTGGAACACTGGACCAACTCTTTACCATCACTAGGGTCCTTAAGGYGCCATGGGAGTTGCCTAATCCAGTCTACATGTGTTTTGTGGACTTGGAGAAGGCATTCATCCACGTTCCTCAAGGTACACTGTGGGGATACTACGTGAGTATGGGATTGTGGGTCCATATACGGGCCATAAGTTGGACCCTTTCAGTGTGGGAGATAGGGCTGCCTGTTGTCACTGATTCTGTTCATAACATACATGGACAGAATTTCTCGGTGCAGCCAGGGGGTGGAAGGAGTCCTGTTCGGTGACCTCAGAATTTAATTCCTGCTGTTTGCAGATGATGTGGTTCTGTTGGTGTCATCGAGCCATGATATCCAGCTTTGACTGAAGTGGTTCACAGCTGAGTGTGTGAGGATCAGCACCTCCAAATCTGAGTCTACAGTCCTCAGTCGGAAAAGGGTGGATTGCTCTTTCTGGGTTGGAGATGAAGTTCTGCCTCAAGTGGAGGAGTTCAAGTATCTTGGGGTCTTGTTCACAAATGAGGGAAGAATGGAGAGTGAGATTGATAAACGGATTGGTGCAGCTTCCGCAATTTTGAAGACTCTGTTGTGGTGAAGAGGGAGCTGAGCTGTAAGGAGAAGCTCTCTGTTTACCGATCAGTCTACATTCCTACCCTCAACTATGGCCATAAACTTTGCATATTGACTGAAAGAACAAGATAATGGATACAGGTGGTTAAAATTAGTTTTCTCCACAGAATGTCTGGGTACTCTCTTAGAGATAAGGTAAGAAGTTCAGTTATCAAGGAGAGACTCAGAGTAGAGCCGCTGCTCCTCCACATTGAGAGGAGCCAGTTGAGGTGGTTCCAGAATCTGGTAAAGAAGCCTCCTGGTTGCCTCCCTAGGAAGGTCCTTCAGGCATGTCCAACTGGGAGGAGACCCCGAGGAAGAACCAGAACATGCTGGAGAGACTATGGGAACGCCTTAGAATCCTCCCAGAAGAGCTGGAAGAGGTGGCTGGGAAAAGAGAGGCCTGGGCTTCTTTACTCAAGCTGCTGCCCACATCACCCCACTTTGGATAAAACAAAAGATAATGGATGGATAGATTTCTGATGGAAGAAATTTAGTTTTTGTTGGCTTTTAAGAGG